TGCCAGGCTGCCTTTTCAATTATCACTAAGCCACACATAAGCCGTCAGCATTGTCACTCTCGTCAACTTTATGAAGTAACACCCGTCCCATACACCAGCACAAACCACAACACCAGAAAAACGCTTAGTGGTTACAGTATGCAATTGGTGCACGCAGCAGCAAAATCTGCCCAACACCAATCAATCTCCAGAACTAGCAAATCAGTTCCGTCGCTTGCGGCACTGCCTTCATTCTTCAGGTGAGAGCAGCTTGTGCTGCTGTGACTCATGAGAGCAGCTTGGGAAACAAATTTTGCTGAGGAAAAAATTCCGGATAGATAGTGCTCTCACATGTGAGAGCTTGTGCTCCCTTGGTGGACTTCCGTATGCTGTTGTCCTCGTGACACCGTCGTACATTTCTGAGTCTTCGTTTCGTAAGATCTACTCTCGTTCTCCGTTCACGTCTCTGACTATCAAGACGTTCCATTGAACATTAAGACTGCTATTCATGCTCTTCTGTTGCACGTTAACTACCTCTCATGTTCTCTGCACCAGCTTCCCTTCATAGATAGTCCAAGTCCGCTTTGGTACGTCGACTAAGCAGCGCTTTGAATATATTTTAACTAAAGCAGGTAAGCAAAGAAAGTACAACGAGCAATAATACAGGCTCTGCTCAAAGCCGGACGTATTTATTGCGGTCTAACTATTTCCAGCCTCAGTCCGCTATTTTTCAGTCACTTTCTTTCCTTCTCTTTCAACATTTCCTCATTTCTTCGTCTTCTCTGGTTTCAGGAGCTTCACAGGAACTCATCCTCTGGCATTTCTGAGGAGCCTGAAAGAAGGAAAGAAAACACACTGAGAGCGCCACAAGAATCGTCTCTGAAGCGTTTCGCGTGGATCCAGGCCCGTGACATTGCATGTGGCGTCCGGCATTACTCGTTGTTGCACGTTCCTGACATTCCGGCTTTCCTGGACTCTATATCCTTTTGTATCTTCGAGAATCTCCTGTGGGTCGGCACTCGCTATAATTTCTCACGTGCCTAAAGAAGCGTCTTGCGGGAGCATCGCGGCTCAGAGTCACCTTGACTCGAATCTCGTCCGTTCTTCTCTCTTCACGCATTCTCGCCGCCACGTCAGCATGGAGTCCGTGCCACCGCTGAACGTGTCGTCCCCGAGGCCGTTCGATCAGTCTGACGAGGGTCAATCCAACGGATGGGGTTGGGTGGCGTCGCCATCTGTTGCGGCGTCTAACCTCCTCAATCTGTACTCCCCAGGTACGACATTTCTTGTCACACCCACTCCGCGTTAACACACTTCCCCGTTACACACACTCCACGCACTTCGCCTATCTTTCGTTACCCCCTCTAAGTTATTCCCTCCCGCGACCTGTACGATCATCGCTTCCTGATAAGGACGAGACCCCAATCCTTTGAGAACCGTTTCGTGTTTGCAATGCTTCCCTTCCTCCTGTCCTCCGCTCTTATTGATGTCTCAAACGTGCGATACGCTATACATTTTCGAAAAGGCTAAGCGATTTCTATTTAACACTGATTAAACTGTAGGCTATAACTATTTCTCGTTCCCTCTTGATCTTCCTTCCCCTCCCTCTTTCTCATTCCCCCTCTCTCTATTCCACCCGGTTCCGCTTCAGCCGCCCAGCACCCGTCGCCGTTTCGCTACAACCGCCTCGCTCCCGACGGCTCCGCCCTCCCGTCCCCCTCCGACTCCGAATCCAGCCCCACCCCCTCCCCTTCCGCGTCCACCCCCGCCTTCCGCGCATCCCGCTTCAACGCCCCCGCTGCCTCCTCCGCATCCCATTCCTCCCCGCTTTCCGCCGACCTCCTCTCCCCCTCCTCCCCCTCACCCGCCTCCCCCTCCTCCTCATCAACCACCATCGCCGATCTTCCAGATGACTGTCTCGCGCTCGTTTTCACCCACCTCACCTCGCCTCGGGATTGGCTCGCAGCGGCGTGCGCGTGTCACCGCTGGCGTTACGCGGCCAATGACGGCATCCGTACGCTCTCGCTCTCCGAATCAGCGATTCACAGCCTACCAGGTGGCCTCGCCTGCGGCCTCCACAGATTCCGCCAGCTGGCGTCGCTCGAGGTCCCCGCGCCCTGCCTCTCCCCCGGGATCGCCTCCACGCTTGCCACGTGTCCGCATCTGACGGCTCTCCATCTCGTGCCGCTGCGGCGCGTTCTCGCGCACAAGTTCACGCGGCACGATGTTTTTCCGCTGCCCGAGGAGCTCGGGCAGGTCACGCAGCTGCAGTACCTGAGGGTTATGAGCGAGATGGTGGCTGAAATTCCGGATTCCGTCTGCCACCTGCCCGTCCTCCGTACGCTGCATCTGGACTCGTGCCTGAAGCTGAAAGCGCTGCCCGCAGAAATCGGGCAGCTTGCTGACCTGGAGGAGCTGAAGATCACTGAGTGCCGGGCTATTTCGGAGCTGCCCGAGTCTCTGGGCAGTCTGCCGCGGCTCCGGACGCTGATCCTCAACCAATGCACGAGCCTTGCGAAGCTGCCCGAATCCCTTTCTTTGCTGGCTTCGCTGGAAACTTTTGAGGTCGCTGCATGCAACAAGCTGAACCAGCTGCCCAAAGGGTTTTCCCAGCTGCCCAACCTCCTGGTGCTCCGCCTGACCGGGTTCGAAACTCTTCAACCAATCCCAGAAATTGCAATCAAGTTTCACGACCTGCGAGTGCTCCACATGGGGTGGGCGGCAGCAGAAATCCCCTTTTCCTGGTCCCTCTTCCATGACCTTCAAGATCTTTCACTAGCCTGCCCGCTGACCGAACTAGACGATCTCAGCCTGCTGCCCTTGTCCCGGCTCACCTCGCTCGAAATCACGCACTCCCGCTACCTCACCACCCTCCCCTCCTCCATCTGCTCCCTCTCCTCGCTCACTCTCCTCCGCCTTAACGTTTGCTCCAAGCTCGCTACTCTCCCAACCAACATCGGCTCGTTAGCTCGCCTCAGATCGCTTGAGCTAAAAAAATGTCTGTCGCTCTCGGCTCTCCCGGATAGCTTGGCGAATCTGCTCTGCTTGGATTCCATCATTATCAAGGACTGCCATTCGTTGAAGTGCCTCCCCAAGGATTTCGGGCAGCTGGGGAATATGCGGTCCATGCAGCTGGTAAATTGCCCAGTGTTGCAGGACCTGCCTGCGTCTTTCGGGCAGCTCTCGTCGCTTCAGGCACTGGAGATCTGGAACTGCAAGGCGCTGGTTGGTCTGCCCGACACTTTCGGGCAGCTGGAAAAGCTGAAGAAGCTTCGCATGATTGGCTGTAGCTTGGTCCTTGCTCTGCCGGAGAGCTTCGGGCAGCTGAAATCTCTCGAGTTCCTGGAGCTGTTAGACCTTATGCGGATAGAAACCCTTCCCAGCACATTTGGAAATCTTTCAACTCTGCAATCACTGACCCTTCGCCTGCCCGGGATCTCACAGCTGCCTCCTTCCTTTGGGCAGCTTGCGTCGCTCCATTGGCTTGTGCTGCTCAGCATGCCGAACCTCTCCAACCTGCCCGAAACCTTGGGAACCCTGTCAGCACTCAAGCAGCTGGAGTGTGTGTCCTGCACATCTCTCCGCCAGGTGCCTGAGTCTCTCGGGCAGCTAAAGAATCTTTCGGACATGGACTTTCAGTGGATTCCTGTTCCAAGCCTCCCCGCTTCGCTCGGTTCAATGTCTCGACTTCAGTCTCTGCTGCTCACTGGGCTGACCAACCTGCGTGCTCTGCCCGCATCCATCGGGCAGCTGAAAAACCTCAAGAAGCTGAAGCTGATGAGCCTGTCGCAGCTCTCGATTCTGCCTGACTCATTTGGCGAGCTGACCAGCCTGCGAATCCTCGTCATATCCCACGTCCCTCTCACCGCCCTCCCTGCAGACTTCACCTTCCCCTCCCTCCTCTCCCTCACCATCTCCCACACCAAACTCTCCACCCTCCCGCCGTCCTTCTCCTCCCTCACATCCCTCCGTATGCTCCACATTGCACACTGCCCCACACTCCGCGCCCTCCCTTGGGATCTTGGCAACCTCTCCTCGCTCCACACCCTCCGCCTCCTCTCTCTCCCCCTCCGCTCGCTTCCTGATTCCACTGGGTCTCTAGCCAAGCTTCAAGAGCTGGAGTTGCAAGACCTTCCAATCTGCTCAGTGGATTTCCTTGGCAAGATGAAGCGCGTGCGGAAGGTGACTATAAAGGAGTGTGATTCTCTGAGGGAGGCTCATGGATCCATGCCTGCTTGGATGAGATCAGCGTCGATTCCGCAGCTGAGCATCGCGTTTTCAAATGCACCACCCCCCTCCCCGTTCCTGCCTTATTTGAACATGTACGAGTCCAGCTGCCCTGTTATGTGATAGTAGACATGTTGTAATAATGTTATTCGTATTCTATGTTACACACTGCAACTCATTCTGCTGAGTAGAACATAGTTTTAGCTATGGCCACATTATTACCGTCCATGTTTAGCAACTGTTGACCTTTTGACACGTTCAAGACGTTTAGTAGACTAGTGTATAGCAGCGAGACCGCGCTTCACCGTCTCAAAGCCCGACAAAGCTGCCTTGGGAAGCCGCACGCAACAAGTGGAGATTTTCGCCAAATTTGCTCAGTATCAGCAAATGGAAATCCCTAGCATTTCTGACATCTGCCACGAGGCTGCTCTTTTCTGGTTCGGTTCGGAAACATACAGTCTGGTTTCTGGGGTGAACGCATGGTAGAAGGTGATCCAACTTCGAGGGGAATTCTTGTGCATGGAAGCATCGTCGTCGTATCACTCCTTTCTAGAAGCCATTTAGACGTCGAGTCGCTTGTACTGTACGAACTTGGGTGAACTGTACTAGGCGATAACGTCAGTTTTAACTTCGTCCACAGCAGAGACTATCAGCCATTCCCGTCGGATTCACTCCAGAATCTGCGTAGCCTGGTCAGAGACAGCTTCCATTTGTAAAATCCCCGTCTCAGCTGTAACCCTGCGCGTTTATATCGACTCGATCCAGTCAGAGAGCATCCGAGAGTAATCGGAGTTATGGCGTCGGACGAGTCGTCTTCGCGCATTCAGCTCTACTCCCTGGCCACGCCGAACGGCCAAAAGGTCCGTTACTGCTCCCTCGGTGCTTCCTCTTATGTTTGCGACGTCTCCGAAGCAGGCTGGCGGTCTGCTCCCTGGCTCCTTTTGCAGCCGTTGGATATACTTCGCATGTCTCCGAATCTTTTCAGACTTATCGTCTGACCACCTGTCCAGGTGGACCTTCGCGTTGGAGGAGATGGAGATTCCGTACGATGCGAAAATTATTAGCATTCTGAAGAACGAGCTGTTCACGCCGGACCAGTGTATGGGTGTATTCCCTGTTTTTCCCTCTCTTCACCCCTATCTTCCAATCGCCCGTTCAGGTGAGCATCGCGTTGGAGGAGATTGAGATACCGTACGATGCGCACACCATCAACGTCTTGAAAGGCGGACATCACGGCGAGCAATTCATGCCAGTGTTCGCCGATTGTTTGGTTACTCGCACTCCCCCCCCAACCCGACCTCTCCCTCTGTCTGACCGCGTGTCCAGGTGAGCATAGCATTGGAGGAGATGGAGATTCCGTACGATGCGCACACAATCAACATCTTGAAAGACGAGCAGTTCACACCGGAGTTTATCGCCATCAATCCCAACAGCAAGATTCCCGCCATCGTGGATCCCAAGGGAGCGCCTGGTAAACGTGAAATTCGCGCATTAGATGATATCTTTTAGGCTCCTGACGTCCATATCATCAGGCATCAGTAAATTCTGGCCGTTGCAGGTTACAAGGGAGTGTTTGATATGCATGCGAACCTGATTACGAGAATTGATCTCTTTGTTTCAGCCAGGCTCCCAGCATTGTGTTACCGTTCTCAGATTTCGTTAATCCTCCCGCCCTCTGCTGGGTTCTGTCTCTTTTGTTTGTTTGTTTGTTTGTTTGTTGGTTTGTTTGTTTCTTTCAACATGTAAATCGGTGATGCAGACGGCACCCCGTTGAAGGTATTTGAGAGCGGGGCCATCCTGCTGTATTTGGCGGAGAAGTCGGGCAAGTTTCTGCCGCAGGATGCCGTGCAGCGATGGGAGACCATGTCCTGGCTCTTCTTCCAAATGGGCGGCGTCGGTCCCATGTTTGGCCAGGCGAGTGATTTGATTCGGATGGGTTCCATGTATGGCCAGGTGGGGTGTTCAGTGTTGAACCCATGTTCGGCCAGGTGGGGTGATCAGTGTTGAACCCATGTTCGGCCAGGTGGGGTGTTCAGTGTTGAACCCATGTTCAGCCAGGTGTGGTGTTCAGTGTTGAACCCATGTTCGGCCAGGTGGGGTGTTCAGTGTTGAACCCATGTTCGGCCAGGTGAGACATCTGATGCCACCCATGTTTGACTGGGTGATAAATCTGATGCTAACATGTCTTTGACCAGGAAAAGTGCGACCACCCATTCCCTACCCAGCTGTGGGTTGAGTGCGCTGGAAGACATACCCCCCTGTTTTCCTAACTGCCTCCTTGTGTTCATTGTTCCCAACAGTTCGGCCATTTCTTCAAGTACGCGCGCGACAAGTGCGACCACCCGTACCCCACCGAGCGCTACACCAACGAGGCGCGGCGGCTGCTGGGGGTGCTGGAGAAGCGGCTGGAAGGGAGGGATTTCCTCATCGATGCTGGCTACACCATCGCTGACATGGCCACATTCCCCTGGGTCATCTGCCTCAAGGTGAGTGGCAAGTTTGATTTGATTTTGCTACTACAGGTTGCCTCTGAAGAAGTGGTTGGCTGCAGGGAAGGGAGTTCATTATTGATGCCGCGTGTACCATCACTGTTATTGCCATCTTCCCCTGGGTCATATGCCTCAAGGTGTGCTTTCTGTGACCTTGGTGCTAATTTCAGCGGTTATGTTCTTTGGTTTTACACATTCCCTCCCCCCATGTCCCCCCCCTTGCCACTTCCCTCCTCCTCGCAACTTGGCTGTCCCCTTGCTCGCTATATCGTTTCCCCCTACCCTTTTGACACTTACCTCATTATTTGTTGAAACCACCTGTCCTCCCCCACTCCCCCCCCCCCTTCTCTCCCCCCCACCCCTCTCCTCTTCCTACCCCTCCCCCACCCCCCCCCCCCCCAATTCCCCCCCTCCCTCTCCTCCCCCCCTCAAACCCACCCCGTCCACTCGGTACAGAAATATTATAACGGCGAGGAGCAGCTAAGACTAGAGGAGTTTCCAAGGGTGCACGCATGGACTGAGAGGTGCCTAGCTAGGCCTCTCACTGCCAAGGGAATGGATGTTTGCCCTTTCAATTGATTGGTGATTGATTACGCTATGTTTGCATCTCTGGGCTAGCATGCCCAGAAAGAGGGTGCAGTAAAAGTAGAGAACATTCAGCTGATCTGTATCATGCTGCTGCGATCAGAAAAACTAGATCGTAACCAGGATCACCTTGGGAAGGTTCGCAGAGTGTGTGGTTGTGGTGGGCCCTTGACCTCAAATCAGAGTGAATGTAAAATGATTGAGATGATTAACACATGCAAATACAAGCATATAAATATAAGCACAAGGGAATACCAATCGTCCTAGCTAGCCATGTACTCGAAGAGGTACATTCTGTTGGAAACAATCGGTCCTAAGCGCCTCTGTCGTGTCGAAACACTAAGGCACAAGCGAAGCGAAGCATACCGAAGCACCGGCGAGTCAACCCTCGGAGGTTGAAGCAACCGCTGGAGGTTACTCGAAAGTCAAAGGTCAGCGACCTTTGACCTGACAAGTACAGCGCGACAGCAAGGACACACAACTGACTCGCTACAGAGCAGTTGCCCGAGTCGTCACTGTATCGAACTGCAACAGCAACAGTAAAAGTAGTTACAACCGTATCTCTTGTACTCTTATATATTCTTGTATCTCTTTGCTTCAATCAACTTACTTTGCCCTCACATACTAGCGCAAGGTGGTTCAGAATCCCTTCATTAAAACGCTTCCGCTACTACATCACTCTACCCAGAGATTAACCCTACCAAAGATCCTAAGGGGCACTCAGCCCAACACATTCCCTTATTCAAGTGCAGCGCGCACAGTTACGAAACCGTGCCCGCCTTTTTCTTCGCTACCACAACTGCCCGATGTTGTTTTCTCCGACGGTCCAGATGCTCTCCAACTGTTTGTGTCGCTTCGACCTTTCACCTTCGTACTCCTTTCTGTGTTCTCCGTTCTTGCTACAGGCAGGAATGCACAATGCAACTTCTCATTTCACTAATCGTAACACATGCAAGCAGTATGCTTGTTATGAATCAACTTGCAGAGCAGAGTGCGCAGTAAAATGAATATCGAGAATGATTGAGTACTGTTACGAGTGCAATTGAGTGAACGAACGAGAATTGCACTATCGAAGCAAGAGTACAATGAGCGAAGGTATGAGCGAAGAATATATAGCGAAACTACAGTGGTAACGGTAATGGTCGCGCGACGAGCCTGGGACTGAGGTTGGGAACGTGTCGAAGCGTAGGCCCGGAGCGCGGGTTACCAGCCGAGCCGTGAGGTCGGGATGCGATGTGCGAAAATGGCGGGATGATGAATGATGCGATGGTCGCGAGTGGTAACGGTGCTGACTGAGGTGCTACAGTGATGTACGCGTTGAGCAGAGATGCGAAGTAAGGAAAAGGGAATTTCCTTACACTACCCCCCCCCTCTTAAAAGGTCCTCCTTACGAAAGCGCGTGGACGTCTTTGAAGTTTCGGCTGCGTAGATAGTCGGTGACGACAGGGTGGTTTTCAATTCTGTCCAGGGGAACCCAGTTGTCCTCGGTGGGTGTACGATCATTCCAGCGAATCAGAAACTCAACTTTTCGGGCCCCTCGAGGGTTGCGAACTCTGTGGCTCAAGATTTTGTCGGGGGTGATGACTGGTTCGGTTGGTGGTCGTGACATGCTGGATGGTCGATGTCGTGGGAGTTGGCTGGTGGATGGTACGTAAGGGCGAAGCAGGCTGACGTGGAACGAGGGGCTGACGTACCAGTCAGCAGGAAGGAGGAGGTGTGCGGTGACAGGTGTGATCATGTGACTGATTCGAAATGGCCCACAGTATCGAGGGCGGAGTTTGGGAGTGATGGGCAGGCGGAGGTTCTGAGTGTCGAGTAAAACGAGGTCGTCGGGCTGATAAGTGACGGGTCTGCGGTGGCGATCGGCGTTGCGTTTAGCGATGATATTTGTTTTTTTAATTGCTTCTGCTGCCCTGGTCCGTGCTGCTTGCAAAATCTCGGCGAACTGTTGTGCGCGTGGAACGGGATTGTCGGGGTTTGGTGTCATGGGTGTCAGAACATATAGCTTACTTATTTGTGTAGGCTATAGTGGGGTATCCCATAGGGGGTACAACCCAATTAGGGTTTCCTATTTGTACTCACTTCGTTCATAGTCATCCCATTCTCGTTCACTTCTTCTCATGGTATCGAGCAGGTTCCCCTGTGGGACCTGTGCTTAGGGCCCACCACCTCGAAACGTCTTTTTTTTCTGCCCTAGCCACTAGCGCACCGCCCGCCCTCGAACGTGAGCGCCGCCCCTAGTGCCCTAGCGCCCGTCCGCTGCCTGCTCTAGCGCTAGCCGCCTGACGCGCCGCCCACAGCGCTGCCCGACGCGCTGCCCTAGCGCCGCCCTAGCGCCGCTCGACGCGCCAGCCTAGCGCCGCCCGACGCGCTGCCCGACGCGCCGCCCTAGCGCCGCCCAACGCGCCGCCCTAGCGCAGCCCGTCTCGCTGCCCGTGCAGCCGCCCTAGCGCCGCCCGTCGCGCTGCCCAACGCGCCGCCCGTAGCGCTGCCCGCTGCCCGCCCTAACGCCGCCCGTCGCGCTGCCCAACGCGCCGCCCACGCGCCGCCCTAGCGCCGCCCGACGAGCAGCCCGTGCAGCCGCCCGTGTGCCCGCCCGTGCACCCGCCCGTGTACCCGCCCGTGCACCTGCCCGTACACCTACCCGTGCGGCCGCCCGTGCACCCGCCCGTGCACCTACCCGTGCGGCCGCCAGTGCAGCCGCCCGTGAGCAGCCTGCGAGCCGCCCCAGCAGCCCGTGCAGCCGCCCCATTCGCGCGTGAGCCGCCTCGGCCGCCCGTGCAGCCGCCCGTGAGCCGACCGCTCGCCGCCCCAACCGCCCGTGCAGCTGTCCACGAGCCGCACCAGCCGCCCGTACTGCCGCCTGTGAGCCGCCCGCGAGCCGCCCGCGAGCCGCCCGCGAGACGCCCACGCCGCCCGAGCCGCCCGAGCCGCCCGCGCCGCCCGAGCCGCCCGAGCCGCCCGAGCCGCCCGAGCCGCCCGCGCCGCCCGAGCCGCCCGAGCCGCCCGAGCCGCCCGAGCCGCCCAAGGAGCCGATCTTCTGCTCCTGTGGGGCTCCTGGGCCGGCGCAGCTGCTGTGCTGCCGTGTTGCTGTGTCGTTCTGCTACCCGACTCTTCCTGCCCGGTGAGACTGTCAGCTGCTACAATGGCCACCCCCAGTGTCCCGACTTTTGACGCTGAGGGTCGCGCCATTGACTTTGCTGTCTGGATTGAGGACCTGCAGCTGTACTTACTGTGCGATGCGATCGATGAGGTTTCTCTCTTTGACTTTGTCTCTGGCGCTGTCCCTGCCCCTCCTGCTGATGCTGACCCCACTGTTCGCTCCAAGTGGGCCACACGCGATGCTGCTGCACGTCTTGCTGTGCGTCGCCACCTCCCTTCCTCCGAGCGTGCACACTTTAGTCAGTGCAAGACCGCTCAGGCCTTGTACGACGCTGTAGTTGCGCGCTACTCCTCCCCTTCCACTGCTACACTAAGCCGCCTCATGCTACCGTACCTCTTCCCTGACCTTGCTGCCTTTCCCACAGTCACTGACCTCTTTACCCACCTTCGCGCTAGTGACACTCGCTACCGAGCTGCGCTTCCTGCTGCCTTCCTCGCTGAAAACCCCCCTCCCATGTACATCACCCTCTACTTTCTAGTCACCCGTCTCCCTGAGTCCCTTCGTGCTGTTAGGGACCAGTTTCTCTCTGTCTGTCCCACCACCCTCATTTTCGACCTCCTTGAGAAGTCCCTGCTAGCGGCCGAGAAGAGCATAGTCGCTGTAGGGGCCTCTCGTGGTGACCCGCGCACCCCCATCTTTGAGGGGTGTTCTCCTTCCCCCCTGCTACCCTCTGTCGCCTCTGCTGCTGCGGCCGACCTAGTTGGTTTAGAGTCGGTCGGTGGGGCGTCTTCCCCCAACGGTAGGCGCCGCTCTGGCAGGAGCAAGGGGGGCAAGGGAGCGGGTGGAGCTAGCGGGGGCGGTGGCAGAGGAGGTGGGGGCGGCGGGGGGAGTGGGGGTGGCGGTGGGGGTGGAGGCGGGGGTGGAGGTCCTGGTGGCGGCGGTGGAGGCGGAGGTGGCGGCGGAGGTGGTGGCGGAGGAGGCAGTGGGAGTGGCGGGGGCGAGGGTGGCGGTGGCGGCGGTGGCGGCGGAGGCGGGGGTGGCGGTGGTGGAGGTGGTCGGAGTGGCTCGTCCCAGAGGAGCGGAACTGGGGGTGGTCAGCGCCAGCAGCAGTAGCACTCTCGCGACGTCCCCGCCCCTCAGCAGCTCCGTGAGTGGTACTCGCAGCGTCAGCGTGGTGGGGCGTTCGGTCCCTGCGCCTACGTCCTTCGCACCGGCGACCGCGCGGGTGAGCAGTGTGGGGGCACCCACACCGCTCGCCGCTGCTTTGCCCGCTTGACCGACGCTTGGCGCCAGCAGTTTCCGAAGGCCTCTGAGATCCCCCGCTGGGGAGAGCTGTCTAGGGCTGGTGTAGCTGTGTTTGATCTTGACTTTGATGCTATCCTTGCTGCCATGTATGCTGTGACTGTTAGTGATGATGGTGACTGTTACCGGTGTTTCCCGCCCGACCCGGGCATTGGTACTACAGTGTCAGGTGCCGGTGAGGCTGCTGCTCTAGGTGCCAGTGCGTCTGTGCTCTCAGGTGCTAGTGAGTCTGCCCTCTCAGGTACTGTGTCGGCTTCTGCCTCTTACACCTTCACCCTTGACTCTGGGGCGTCTCGCTCCTTCTTTCGGGACCGCACCACTCTCACGCCGCTTAGTCGGCCTTTTGCGGTGTCCCTGGCTGACCCCTCTGGGGGTCCTGTCCTGTCTCACTTCTCCACAGTCCTCCCGTGTCCGGCGGCTCCCTCTGGCACCCTGACTGGTCTTTACCTCCCCTCGTTCTCTACGAACCTGGTGAGTGGTGCTGACCTATAGGATGTGGGTGTCCACCAGTTCACCCCTGCTCGTCAGCGGGTGACACACTGCACAGAGGCTAGCACAGGTCGCCACCTGGCTACGTTTACACGTCAGC